TAATCAGATCTCATACCATCATTCCCTAAACTGCGCCTCGCAGCAGTCAGACTTGATCAAAAATGAAGCCGAAACGTTTCCAAACTAACATTCTTTCAGTGCGGCGATGCCTTCACATGCGGTAGCCTCGAAGTCTCCCTGCACACACCGAGAATGACACAAATTGGTGCACGTACCCAAACAACCGCCCAATCAGTGCATCGTTACTTTCGCCAATCATCCCATCTCTGATCTCTAATTTCTATTTTCTTGCACGACATTACCCGCTCTTGAGGACTAATTACACTTTCCCTCACGTTTCCTCTTTCTATCTTCATCGCATTTATCGTCTCTTTTAATTCCATCGTGTTTCTCTTCTATTATTCCATCATCGTCTCTTTGTCTTCTCCTTCTCATTATCGTCTTTCGTATTCTCTGCATCCTATTATCTCATTATCGTGTCTCTTATTTTTTTCTTCTATTCACGCTATTATTCGGAAGATGTATACGCTTTAGTCTTGCTGACGAGCGTCTTGAGGCACCGGTTGGTGAGGATTCCCCCCCCCCCGCCCCCCCCCCCCCCCTCCCAGTACACTCCTCCGCCCACCTTTCTGCCCCACTCCTGGCCCTCTCTTTTCCCTTTTCCCTTTCCCCAGCTTCCTTTCTCTCTTCTCTCTCTCTTTCTCTCCTCTCCTGTCTCCTGCTTAATCTATCTCACTTTCTCTCTTCTTCGTGTTCTATTTGTGTTTCTGCCTTTCCTCTCTTCTCTCTGTCTATTTTCTCTCTATCTCTCACTCCTCTTCCTCTTTCTGGTCTATTTATGTTCTCCTCTCTCTCTCTCTCTCTTATCTCTCTCTCTTCGTCTCTTCTCTCTCTCTCTCTTCTCTCTCTCGTCTCTCTCTCTCTCTCTCTCTCTCTCTTCTCTCTCCCTCTCTCCCTCCCTGCCCCTCCTCTCCCTCCCCTCCCTCCTCCCTCCCTCCCTTTCCTCCCTCGCCTCCCTCCCCTCCTCCCTCCCTTCCAACCTCCTCCCTTCTCCTCTCTCCTCTCTTCCTCTGCCTCTCTCTTTCTCCATACTTTCTCCTCCACATCTTTTACAACGCAAGCTGCGTCCTGCAACGACCAAATGTGGTACATGTTTATTGCCCTAATTGTCTTTTTTTCATTTAATAGTTTTTGCGGTTGTTGTGTCGACCTCTGGAGCGCCTCTGCCTATCTATTCTTGGCTTCTGATTATGATGTGGATTGTTACTTTAGGATGTACGACACACACACAACACAATACACTGCACCACCGTACACACAACAACACACATTTAACACACACACTACCACACACACACACACACACACACAGCACAACACACTATACATTGTAGATGGAAGAATAGAGAGAGAGACAGACAGCAGACAGTCAGACAGACAGACAGACAGACAGACAGACGACAAAACAGACAGACAGAGACAGAGACAAGGAGAGACAGAGAGACAGAGACAGAGACAGAGACGAAACAGAGAGAGAGAGAGAGATTATATATCAAAAATAACAAACCAGTTCCTCTTTTTAGAAAGTCGTGGCGAGTAAAAAATCAGCGGAAAGGCAGCTTCACTTCGGCGGCAGAAACAGATCCTAATCCTCACTTCAGTCCTAAAAATGCTCGTCACTTTCACTTTCCTTGCTTCTTTTCTCTTGCTTCCCTTCCGTGTCTTGTTCTGATTCTTGTCGCCTTTGATTGGCTGTTTGGGTTGTTTGCTTGTTTGTTTGGGGGTTCCTTCGTTTTCTTTTCTCTTTGTTTATTTTTTTTTTTTTACGTACTTGATTTTTTTTTCTTTTTCTATTTATTTTTTATTTTTTCCGTACTTGATATTTTTTTCCTTTTTTTCCTTGTGTTTATTCAGTTTTTCTCATTTTATTTTTTCATTTTTTCTTCTCTTTGTTATCTTTCTCTCTTCTCTTCTTCTAACTTGCATTTTCTTTTACACTTATTTGCTTGATGTATGTCTTTTATTTCTTTTGTGTTTGTTGTGTATTTGTTTTATTATGATTATAAATTTCTCGTTCTTTTTATCTTTCTTATTCCCTTCATTACCTTTATCTATTCTTTGTCTTTTCTCTTATTTATTAGTTAACATCTTTCTCTTCCTTTCTTTTCTTTGACTATTAGCTTCCACTCACACTCCTCTATCCACCCGCACATACACGCACACACACACACACACACACACACACACACACACACACACACACACACACACACACACACACACACACACACAACACACACACACACACACACATACATCCCCCCCCACCCAATCCTTACCCACCCACCCACCCACCCAGATCCCTCCACCCACACCACCACCCACACGCCCACCCACCCACAACACACACATCCCCCCACCCACCCCACCCCACCCACCCCCACCACCCAACCACCACCCACATCCCCACACCCACACACCACCACCCCCCTATCCACCCACAACCCCTACCACCACCCACACACCCCCACCCACCCCCACACGCCCATCTTCGAGGCTACGGCGTCGTGTAGAAGTGGCTGCTGCTCCTCCCGGACCCCCTGTTGGCAGAGACAATTAAGTGGTGTAGTTATGTGGTTTGTTCTTTGACCACTTGAGGTTTGCTGTTCGTCTTGTTTTTGGGGGGGTTGGTGGTGCGGCTTCGCTCCGGAGGTGTTGGGGAAGGGGTGTTGTGTGTGTTGATGTGCGTGGGGCGGGTGTGGGAGGGAGGGGGGGGTGTGGGGGGAGGGGGGGTCGTGTGTGTGTGTGTGGGGAGGGGGTGTGTGGGGGGGGGGGGGGAGGGAGGGCGTGTGTGTGTGTGGGCGTGTGTTGGGTGTGTGGGCGTGTGTGGGGGGGGGGTTGTGTGTGTGTGTGGGGGGTTGGGCGTGTGTGTGTGTGTGTGTTTTTATTATTATTATTATTATTATATCATTATCTTATATTCATATTTTATTTTATTATTATTATGTTTTTTATTCATTATTTCATTATTATTTATTATTACTATGGAGGGAGGTTGTGTTGTGGGTGTGGGGTGGTGTGGTGTGTGGTGTGTGCGGTCACGGTCGTGTCAAGCATGTGTGTTCGTGTTTGGATTTATCTTCAAATACATGTAACTGTCTATTTTTTCCCTTCGTGATCGTCGGTTTAGGCTATCAAGGATTATTTCTCTATGTGCTTTGGGGTGGTCGTCGCCCTTATGGATATGGAAGGAAACTTTTCTCACGTTTCCATGTCTTTGTTCATGGGTGTGATATGCTTATAGCGTCGAGAACAAAAATACGAACATCATAAACATATGTGTGCACAATCCATGCATGTACACAGATGTATTTGTGTGTATATGTGTATATATACTTTCATATATATTATAGATGCATACATAAATACTTATACACATACAAACACGCCCACACACAGACACTCTCTCTCTCTCTCTCTCTCTCTTGCTCTCTATGTCTCTCTCTCTCTCTCTCTCTCTCTCTCTCTCTCTCTCTCTCTCTCTCTCTCTCTTCTCTCTCTCTCTCTCTCTCTCTCTATATATATATATATATATATATTATATATATATATATAATATATATTAATATATATATATATATATATATATATATATATATATAATATTCCTCTTCTCTCTCTCGCTCCCTCTCTCCCTCCTCTCTCTCTCTCTCTCTCTCTCTCTCTCTCTCTCTCTCTCGTCTCTCTCTCTCTCTCTCTCTCTCTCTCTCCTCTCGTCTCTCTTCCTCTTCTCTCTCCCTCTCTCTCTCTTCTCCCTCTTCTTCTCTCTCTCTCGTCTCTCCGTTCTCTTCTTCGTTCTCCCTCTCTTCGTTCTGCTCTCGTCCTCTCTCTCTTCTTCTCTGGCTTTCTTCTCTCTCTCTCTCGTCCTCGTTTCTCTTCTCTGGTCGTTCTCTCTCTCTCTCTCCTCTCTCTTCTCTCGCTCGGGCCTCTCTCTCGCCGTCCCTTGATTCCTGTGCGTTCCCGCCTCTTCTCGTTCTCTCTCTCTTTTGCTGCTCTGCTTCTTTCTGTGTCTTCTCTGTCTCTNAGCAGGAAAGACAATACGATAAAAAAAGGAGAGGGGAAGCAGAGAAAGAGAAGAACAAGAGAAGAGAAAGCAGAGGAAAAGCAGAAGAAAAATTAGAGAAAAAAAAGCCAGCAGAAATTATAGAGGGAGAAAAGGGAGAGAACAGACGAGCAGAAAAAAACAGGAGGAAAAAAAAGAAAGAAGAAGAAAATCAGAAATTAGGAGAGAGAGGAAAAAAAAAAACAGAAAAGAAAAAAAAAAAGAAAAAAGCAGAAAAAGACCAAAAATAAACAAGTCAAAGAGGAGGAAAGAATAAAAAAAAAAAAAAAAAAAAAGAGAAAAAAGCAAACAAAAATTCTCTTTTCTATATAGCAGAAAACTCTCCTTGTGGACAAAGTTAATTTCCAGAATGTAAAATTTGATGCCAGGGGACGACGGCTGCCAGACGTACGACGAAAGGGGAACAGACTTACAAATTGGGCTTGGGAAGGGGAAAGAAATGATATATATTAATATTTTGATAGTGGATTCTGTTTCGTTTTGTTTTATTTTTTTTTTTTAATCTTTTTTTATTTATTTATTTTTTGTGTTTTATTTTTTTGAAGAATGGAAAGGGTATTTCTTTTTTTTTTTTTTTTTTGTTCAAGTAGACATGAAAACGTCAAAAATAAATAATGAAATAATATATAATTAAAAAACACCCCTTCTCCTCTCTTCTAACTCCACCCCCTCTTCCCTTACCCCACCACCTTTAACCTTCCCCCCTACCCCTCCACACCTCCCCCACCCACCCCCACCTCATTCCTCTCCCATCCCCCTTCCCATCCCCTCCCCCCAACCCTACCATTCCTCTCCC